TATCAAAGTCTAGATTTTATAGAAAAATTTCAAGGACAAAACTGAAATAAATTTGCAAGTTATACACCATTGTAGAAAAATGAAACACAAATAGATGATGTAAAGACAAAAAAAAAAAAAAAAAAAAAAAAAAAAAAAAAAAAAAAAAAAAAAAAAAAACCAACTCAATTCTTCTAATTCATATTGGATTGAATTTTCACGTTAAAATATAACTTATAATTTTAAATATTAGAATTAATTTTTATAATATGATAAAATGTTTATAAATAGGTGTTATAATTAAAATTTTATCAAACTATAAAAATAAAACTTCAATTATTTTAAATTAGAGGGACAGCAATTGCTCTGCTATATATATAATAAAATTAAAGTCAATTCATATTTTCATGGTTTTAATTTTGGAATTATACAAAATATTTCATATAAGATATTTTATTTTTAATACATATTGTTACCACAAATAAAAATATACAAAATTATCATTCAAAGTTTAAATATTTAATTTTTAATTTCTATAAATTTTAAATTTTAAAATTAGTTATTATAAAATGGATAAAAGTGTTATATTAAATCACAAACATCAAATTCTAACTGAGAAGGTTAAATTTGTAATTTAATTAGAAAAAGGTACGGCGGCAGAGGACACTGCAGGAAACAGTGGCCAGCGGTCACGTGACAGTTGCAGGTTGAACCTGAACCACGATCAAGCGCCGGGAAAGTTAGTTGACCGGTAATTTCCAATTAAATATATATTCATTCCTTAACTTAAATCTTGATAGCCCGACAAAAGTCTTCGCCATTCTCGATAATTAGGGTTCTGCCCAAGAATCTTCTCTTTGAATATCCTTCTTCTTCTGGTAAAATCCACCATTGTTTGTTACTCTTGTTTCAAACTCGATCGACAACACTATTCAAAAGCGATCCAAGGCCTTTGAGGAAGAAGAAGGCCGAAGATAGTGCAGGTTTTCGTCAATGACGGAGGTGAGTGCTATGATGATTCGTGCTTGTTGCAATTTCGTTGCTAAAACCTCTGTGTTAGATGTGAAACGATCGGATTCTCGTTTGTCGGTTATCGGTCGAACAGTTTGGTGCGATCGGGGTAGGATGAAGGGGAGAGTTGTAACTGGAGTTAAGGCGGCAATGCAGGTGGATTTGGAGGATGATGAGAGGTTGAAACGATTGGACGGTTTAGAGGCGACATTAGGGCTTGATGTTGTGGCGGAGAGGGAATTGAAGGAGAAAGGGTTTTTGGGGATGAGGAAGACGAAGTTTGTTTGTACGATTGGGCCTGCGTGTTGTGCGATTGAGGATTTGGAGAAGTTGGCTTTGGAAGGTATGAACATTGCGAGATTGAATATGTGTCACAACAAGAAGGAGTGGCACTATGACGTGATTAGGAAGATCAAGAAGTTGAATGAAAAAGGATTTTGTATTTCGGTGATGATTGATACTGAAGGAAGTCAGATTCATGTTGTTGATCATGGAGCTCCTTTCTCCGTCAAAGTAGAGGTAGATTTTATATCTCTGTTATTTTTGCTGTAATTTTAGTGGTAATCAAATCAACAGAGAGTTATGATCCAGTGTTACTATTTTCCATTGTAATTTAAGAAAAACGGGGTTTAAATTCTCTGGCCATCATTGTTCAGGATGGTTCAAATTGGTTGTTTACTGCTGAGAAATTCGAGGGCTCTCGTCCATTTACTGTTCAAGCGAGCTATGAAGGTTTTTCTGAAGGTGCTGCACTTTGAATCTTTTTTTTGCTTTCTCTGTCTTCTGAATTGTGATTAGAAGAAATGTATGAATCCCACACGTTAAATAGGATATGAGTTTGAATTCTACAGGTATCCAAGTGGGTGATTCAATTGTGATTGATGGGGGAATGGCATCCTTTGAAGTTATGGAAAAGATTGGGAATGATTTAAGCTGTAAGTGCACAGACCCTGGTTTGTTTCTTCCTCGAGCAAAATGCAGCTTTTGGAGGGATGGGAGGCTTGTTATGAGAAAACATGAGTCTCCCACGCTGTCAAGTAAGGTAGGAAAGTGTCTGATGCATATCAATATTCATTCTGAATCATTTACTTGTGATGAAGCAGGTATTGTACGTTTGGAATTTCCCTTTTCGAGCTCTCCTCAAAATTTTTAAAGCGTGTCAGTTAGGAAGAGGGTTCCACACCCTTATAAAGAATGCTTCTCCTCTCCGATATGGAATCTCACAATCCACCCTCTTTGGGGCCAGCGTCTTCGCTGGCACTCATTCCCCTCTCCAATGGACGTGGGATCTTTGAACCTCACAAGTTTTTACCCCTCCCCAACGGTGTGGACATGATGTATAAGGTTCACCGTTGAAAATTTTTCTTACTCTTGGGTTGTCAACAGGACAAGGTTTTACTGAATATGGTATGGCGACAAAAATGTTATGTTCATCATTAAAAATTTGTCTTCTCATAGTGGTTGTCAACATTATAAGATTTTGTTTCTGATTGGTATTGTGGATGACATTTTAGGATCATTGTTTAAATTTATTTTCTCGGGTTGTCAGCATCACAAGTTTTATCCCTGTATATCAACATCTATGTGCAGAAGAAATTTTATCCACTTTTCTGCAATTTTGCTCTTTCTTTTGACAAGGTTGACGATCGCATTAATGTGTCAAAATGTAAAAAATAATAACAAAAAAAATAGTGAGAAGAATTTAATGAATTACGTCTTCTTCTTGGATGATGCTAGTTCTCTGCTTTTCAACTCTGTTTTTCACAGTGTATTATACTATTTGGTTTACTATTTTATAGGATTGGTCCGACATTGAATTTGGAATCTCGGAAGGCGTCGACTTCATTGCCCTTTCCTTTGTGAACAGTGCAGATTCTGTCAAGCATCTAAAGAGCTACCTATCAGCAAAATCAGCAAAGTAAGCATCGATTCAAGAAGTCAACATATTAGCATGAGTTAGGTTGGAATATCACTACTAGGCATGAACGATATATCCCGATGTCCCTTTCAATTGAATTTTCATCACCACTGGTTTCTTAGCCGCAATTCATAAATTGTCTGGAAAACTTCTTTATTGAAACTGATATTGTGTAATTTCAAAACCCATTTTAGTAGTTAAGGATAAAAAAAATGTTCTCATGCACAGATCTGTGAGAGTATTGGCCAAGATTGAAAGCTTGGAGTCCCTTCAAAATCTAGAAGAAATCATAAAGGCTTCTGATGGAATCATGGTGGCTCGAGGGGATCTTGGGGTTGAAATTCCTCTCGAGCAGATACCAGCAGTCCAAGAAGAGATAACTAGTGTCTGTAGGGAGCTGAACAAACCAGTGATCGTAGCTTCTCAACTTCTAGAGTCGATGGTTGAATATCCTACTCCAACACGTGCTGAGGTACGAGTTTTTTAGTTAGTTTGTTTTTTTCAACTTCAGGTACAGGGATCCAACTATGAGATCCCACATCGGTTGGAGAGGAGAACGAAACATTTTTTATAAGGGTGTGGAAACTTCTTTCTAGCAGATGCATTTTAAAATCGTTAGACTGACAGTGATACGTAATGGGTCAAAGTGGACAATATCTACTGGTGGTGGGCTTAAGATGTTATAAATGGTATAGAGTCAAAATCGGGCACTGTGCCAGCAAGGACGTTGGGCCCTCAAGGGGAGTGGGTTGTGAGATCTCACATCGGTTGGAAAAGGGAACGAAACATTCTTTATAAAGAGTGTAGAAACCTCTCCCTAACAGACATGTTTTAAAATCGTGAGGCTGACGGCGATAGGGCCAAAACGGACAGTTATTCAAAAACGTATTTCCGAGTTGAAATTTCTGGTGCTCTCTGGTATGGTGGATTGAATATTGTGTTGAAGTCTAGAATGATGATCAGTCTTCGTGTTCAATAGGTTGCAGATGTTTCTGAAGTTGTCCGACAGTATGCCGATGCATTGATGCTGTGTGGAGAGTCTGCCATAGGATCATATGGACAGAAAGCGCTTTCGGTTCTGCAGATAGCCAGCAGCCGAATGGAGTTATGGAGTGGTGAAGAAAATACGAAACATTTCCTTCCCCAACACCAACTTGGGGTGTCATTGCACGATCGCATTGCCGAAGAAATTTGCAATTCTGCAGCTGAATTGGGTAAAACTCACTTTTCTCCACTTGCTTTCTTAACAATCCCTTCGTGTGTGATCATGAAAATAACATCAGAATCCCCTTTCGGTCATATATCATGTCTAACTTCTAGCTTCTTTATTACGTAATCATGCATAAGAAAATTATAAAGTTATTCTTTGTTAGTTTCAATTTGGTACTTTTTGTTTAGAAGTACATATTAATAAAATCTTTCATATCATATTGGCTGTTCGCTTCTCAAAAAATTAAGTTTCGTTTGATGGGAGAGATAAACCATGGTAGATTGACTTAGTAGTCAATGTAAACGATAAAAGACTTGGACGAAATGAGTTCAAGACATGATGGTCATTTACCTAAGATTTAATATGTGTGACAGCCCAAGCCTACCGTTAGCCGCTATTGTATGCATTTGTCCCTTCATGATTTTAAAATGCGTCTGCTAGGGAGAAGTTTTTACGCCCTTATAAAGAAAGTTTTGTTCTCCTCTCCAACCAATGTGGGCTCAGCATTCTCACTGGCACACCATTCCGTGTTTGACTCTGATACCATTTATAACAATCTAAGCCCACTGCTAACAGACATTGTCAATTTTACGTATTGTCGTCAGCCTCACAATTCTAAAACACATCTACCCGAGAGAGATTTCCACACTCGTACAAATAATGTTTTGTTCCCCTCTCCAGCTAACATAGGATCTATGAATTATCTTGAAAACCATATCTAATAGGGTTAGACAATTCTCTATGCCAACAGGGTTCGCTAGTTTAGACACTCACAGATATAGAAGTACAAATGGCTAGTGGTACTGAATTGGAGTAAAAAGAAAGTGTCATATACAAAAGTAGATAACATTTAGCAACAACAGAGACATATTGTATCAAAAAAGTTATGGGTTGTGTCGTGGTGGGTGTGGTAGAACTGATTATATCATTTATAGGTTTCAAGAAACAATTCAATTACCTTTGAAAGGAAAGCTTCTGAAACTAGTTAACACCACCATGTGCTTTGTTGCAGCCAACAAACTTTCAGTAGACGCTATATTCGTGCTCACAAAGCAAGGTCACATGGCTTCTCTTCTATCCCGAAACCGCCCCAGCCCGCCTATATTCGCATTAACCGACGACGACAGCACGAGAATGGCTTTGAATCTTCAATGGGGAGTGTTTCCTCTGCGCATTGACCTCTCAGACGACATAGAAGCCAACATCTCAAGAGGAATCGAGCTAGTGAAGTCAAAGGGACTGGTCAAACAGGGGGACTTCGTGTTGATGGTCTCAGAGATCTCTGCAGCTCGAGCTGCATCAATGGCGTCCCAATCAATCCAGCTGAAATCCATCGTGTAGCACAAACAGAAAACCAAGGCTGGTCAGAGGTTTTATATACTGGAAACTGCTTTAGGATGCTTTGTAGTATGCTTTTTAGTGGTTTGTGATTGCACGTACCATATGTGGTGGCTACTCATTTATCTATCTCATTACATGTGAAACGACGTCGTTTCTTTACTTGTGGCCATGTCTGATAGGTTGCTTGCTGTAGTATAGCTAATATTTGGTGATTGAACAACTCTATTGAAATTATTGGCCATTGTTGATATGTTTGTAGAAAACGACAAAAGATGTGCCAAACTTTAAATCTGATTTTAAAGTAATATTATTTATTTTATTATTAAATTTTAAGTTTTAGGAATTAGAAGTTTTAAAGGCTGAAGTATAATTGAACCTGTAATTTATCACTCTTTATCAAAAAAAAAAAAAAAAAATTATGGTTTATTTATTTATTTTGTTATTTTAACACCTAATTTAATAATTGTCACACACTTCCTATAAAGTTAGAAGTATTTCCATATTGATTAATTAATAATCTATTAATTTTAATTAATTCACTCTTGTACGTTCAATTAATTTACTGCATGGTTTTCTTTGAATAATCATAATTGATTACTCAATTAAAATTATTCCTAACTTGCTCATCATAATTTAAAAAAAGTACAATCAATTGAATTTCTTTATTGAAATATTTATTAGGTAATTAATGAATAATAGCAATTTATAATTTATGTATTAATCTCGTACCAAATAATTTGTTTCTATATATATATAAAAGCAATATTCTCGAACAATTTTTAGTAATATTAATTAGAGGCATCTTAAACATTTATCGAAGAAATAACAAAAGTTTAGGGACCCTAAACCCTACAAACTATTAGATCCACAAAGTATACAGAACAATTAAAAGTCGGAAGAATTTCATGATAATGTTTCAAAAGTTAATAATGAAAACAAAATAGTATTCAAACAAACACATGTACATATATAACTTATCCGCTCGAACATTATTCGATAAATATAATATTAATATTAATTAAATATTGACCGTTCTAACCCTTACCTAGAACTCGAAATAAACATACATACAAACTATCCAAACGCCGTAAATGAAAAGCCCCTCATTCAAGCTCTCCCATTTTTTTTAAAATTTATTATTATTATTATTATTATTATTTTAAAGCCTAGTAAAAAGGCAAGTGTGGGCCCCACCTTACACGTCAGCATTTAATTTTACATTTTGCTAAAATGCGCCATGGCGGATGCGTATACGCTTTAATAGCTAAATTCCGTACCAATTTTTTCCATTTCATTTTGTTTTGTGTTTTTCTTATTTTTGGAAAACTAAAATGAAACTATTTATTCTTCTTCTCCCGTTGAATTCCTTGTGAGGAAGAAAGTTCCATCTCTGCTTCTAGTTCTACTTCTAGTTCTACCTATGGCTGCTCTGCAAATTCTCAAATCAACTGTCTCTCCTCTTTCGTTCTCTCAGCCGAGTTTTGGCGTCCAATCGAGCCGGTTCTTCACGGAGTTGGATTCCTCGAGGAGGTCTGTACGGTTCCATGGCCGTCGGAGAAGTTTGAGATATGGCTGCGTTTGTAGGAGGTTGAGTTTCCGTTGCGCTGCTCAGGATGCTCATAAGGAAAGCAATGGTAAGTTTTAGCTGGCTTTTCTTCTTCTTCTTCTTCTGATTCTGCTTGTTGCGGTCTTGTTTTTTGTTCTGTGTTTTTTTTTTTTCGTTCTCAGTGCATTTGCCTTGCTTGGATCTTCTTCATGAATTGATTTTCGTTATCATGGACTTCGTGTTGCTCATTTTGAAGGCGAGAGATCGAGAGGCTACTAATTAACTTGTTTAGGTCAGGCAATAGTTCCATGGTGTGTGTTGTTCGGATGTTCCATCACTCTCACTCGTGAATGATCTTGCTCTTTTGAGAATCGTGCGAGCATTCATTCGGCTATTATTTCGTCACTTCTGGTTTATCTTTCTCTGTGCATTTTCCTTGCTCGGATGCCTTGATGAATTGATGCTAGTGATCATTGACTTGAGCGAGAGATAGAGAGGCAATAAGTAGCTTAAGCCTTCGCTGAGGCAGAATTTGCGTGTAGTTTGTTGTTCAGATTGTCCGTCACTTCCGAATTTTCTTGTTCTGTGGATATTAGCTCAATCATTTAGAAAAATCGCACGAGACAAGATCCCTCCAGCCATTCGTCCGTCATTCCTTAAATCTCATTCACTGTGCATTTTCCTTGTTTGGATATCTTGATGAATGGATGTTCGTTATTGTAGACATCGTTCTGCTTATTTATTTCCGAAGCGAGAAATGGAAACACAAATGCACCAAGAGAGAGAATTCGGGAAGAACGGACGAATAGTTGGATGGACCTCGTACTATCTTGTTTTACCACATGCTTGTGCTACAGTCCACAGAATAAGGTAGTAGATGTTCATTATCATAGAGCTCATCTTGCTTAGTTTCAAAAGGCGAGAGTTAGGAGAGGCATCTAACTTTCTTAGAAGAGGCGGAAGTTGCACGGTGAAGTTTATTTAGCTGGTCTTTCATTTCTTAGTAATCATGTAGCAAAATTGTGCTAGTGTCCATCAAGCTATTTGAGTAAATGAGGAACGGAAGATGCTTGCGGCTACGCATAAGGATCGCTTAGTTGGCACTCTAATTCTGTTTGGAGCTTCATTCTCGAGTCAACATATGCACAGCCGCAAAGATGAAATTTAAACCGGAATCTGAAAATTTAAGCTAAGAGTTTTGATGATGTTTATCATATTTTTAAAATTTAACCAAACTTTTTGTTCTTCAGCCAGAAAACACTTGGTAGATGGATAGAACCATCATTCCTACCAATATCTGTGTTAACCATGAATCTGTAACCGTGGTTTTTATTGGTCCAGTTGTTATAGTTAAAGCTTTTAGGAAGCTACATATCTGTACCAAGCCAACAGTTCTAGTACCCGTACTTGTATTAGGAGTGGTAGCTGGCTATGCTTGTTTAGATTGCTTGAACAGCTTGCTAAAGGTCGAATTGCTCCTTTGAGAAGCATTTCCATTTCGGACATTAGAGCTTTGTTCAGCCAGCATAACAGTGGCATGATTTCTTTAGTCTTCCAAGTTTATCTTCCATGAACTTTCCAGGCAAGTCTTTTTTGAGTGCATTATCTTCTTACCATGTTCATACTTGGCCTTTATTCTTCGGTCCCATATAGAGGAACTTTTACTTATTAGAGCATAGCTTTTAGAGTTCACCTGATTTGATGTTCCAAGAAAGTTTGTATCTGCCTCAGTAGTAATGCTTCTAACAGTAGGTCTTCATAGTCGGAATCTTTCATATTCCGCATCTTAGTTTTTGTTAATTCTAGTATATTACTTGAGTTGAATGTATTGAAGAATGTTTTTTGTTTGAGACCTTCGATTATGTTAATTTAAGGTGTTATACACTACTTTTTTCAGGAGAAGAACCTCCAGAATCATTATTCATGAAGGAGCTGAAGAAGAGAGGTATAGCTCCCACTTCCTTGCTTGAGGATACTAACAGCACTGAATTTGAACTTGGTGTTGAGGCGACGGGAGGAAGCCTAGATTTATCCGGTACAAGTGCTGTTTCAACTGAAGTTAGCAAGAGCCTATCCAATCAAATGGAGCGTTCCATGCAATTGAACAGTGAAGGCCTCGAGGTTAATTTCCTTATGATTTTATTTATTCGAGTTTATGAGTTATTCAAATTTCTAAATTCATTATATCTGATCTGTTTTGATTTCTATTGTTCCCTTGCTTGAAGAGTTGTGACCAAAATAACCAGAATTTGGTGAACAATTAATGAAAATATTATTACCATTCACCAAGAACAATGAAAGACTGGCCGGCCATACAAACCTAAAGCTAAAGACGTAAGGGATCTATAAAAAAGAATTACAATAAGTTGCCGGCTCCAAAGTTGATAATCATCCAAAACAATTGGACGACCAAAAACTCTCTGGAGCAAAAGCCTAAAGAAAAGCATTGTAGTGAGCCAAGCTCCAAAACATCCTACCATTTTTCCCCATAAAAATCCTCATAATTCTTTCTAACTTAATTCTCCAAACAGCAACAAAATAATCCGCCTGCTGACTGCTGATGAACCTTTCCTTCGTTGGCAAAGGGAGGATGAAAATAATCTCAATTCTCATCCACACATCAGTGATTAGAAATGAAAGAAATAATCTTGATAATACACTAGATGTATTGAAAAATTTCTCCCAAAGCTTCTCAGAAAACATGCATCCGAGAATGCTCTTTGGATGTGCCTGCTTGCAAAGATCACACCATTGAAATCAAACTACTCAAGACAATTTTGAATAAGTCCATGATATCGATTCTCCCAAGGCAACCAACCAAAAGCAGAATCAAGGGTGTTGTTTGTTGGTGATATGATGGTATCTTTTATAAAATATAAAACTACTAGTAGTTGCCAACTAAATATTAGGTTGAATATAAAGTTGTATTAATTAATTGATGAACATATTTTATGTCTCAACCACAAACTTTCCTCCATCCCTATAGCTCAATTAGAAAGATTTACTTTCTATAGGTATAGAAAAGCACCATCAAACATGAAGCCCAAGATACTCGAGAAATAATTAGTCATTTGTATTAGTAGTTCTTATAAAAACAAAACGTACTTGTAAATTTTTTTTAAAGAAGTGTTACTTTGACATGCCAAGGATCATAATCGGAATCCATCATAGTGAGGTTTGAAATTGAAGTATGCAGTATTTGAGCCTTCTACATGTCACTGGAACTGTATTCTATTATCAAACAAAAACCTAGGAAAAACTGGGGAAGTTCATTTCTAATTTTGTGCTGGAGTGAACACAATCTGAGTGATCCATTCGTTGCAGTTTTTTGGCTCACTTCTAAAAGAGAGAACAGTTTCTATATGATTGCTTTAATTTCTACTTTCTGGCATCAATTTGTTCTACTTATTTCGATCCTTTTTCATTCCAATTTCAAGTGATTATCATTTCTACGGCATATTTCAATCTTCTATATTCTAGTTTGTGTTAGTAATCACGACCCTCCACAATGTTATGTTATTGTTCACTTTAAGCCTAAGCTCTCATGACTTTACTTTTGACTTTCCTAAAAGGCCTCGTGACAATGGAGATAGTATTTCTTACTTATGAATCCTTATTCAACTTCTTAATTAGCCGATGTGGAACTCCCCTCCCAACAATCCTCAACCGTTTGAAGATGTTTAAGGTTAACATTGTTTTATTTGGTTTCAGGGTTTGATCCCTCGTGCTAAACTTTTGCTAACACTGGGAGGAACATTTTTCTTAGGATTCTGGCCGCTGATCGTCATCACTGTTTCATTATTTTTTGCTTTATACTTTGTAAGGCTTCTTGAATCCAGATTAACAACCAAGTACTAAAGAGGAGCTAGACTTTGTGCTTGATTACAAAGACCTAGATGAAAACTAACAATTCTTAAATATTTTGTTCCAATGCAGTTTTTTGGATCATCTTTTGTTCACGACGGCACCCAAACGCCACCATCTCCTCCACCGTATGTTTATCCATATGCTCCTTTAGAAGACGAGAGGATTTCACAAATAGCTCCTCGTGTAAATTGACTGGTACCCATTATAATCTTAATTGGTTGGTTTTCTGCTACTTACTTTTCCCTTTCGCAATATTGATTCCTGTCCTTGCAATATTATGTATATATGAAAATGATTGTTAGCTAGAATTTTCTTGTTTACACTTTCCCATTCTTTTTTTTTTTTTTTTTTTTTTG